CTTCCTCCACCAGGCAGTCCACCACCACTGCCCTCTTCTCCTCCCGCAGGCAGCTCTCCCTCCACGTGTCTCCCAGCGGGCAGCCAGCGGCCACCATGTTCAGCTGGCTGAAGCGGGGCGGCGGCCGGGGCCAGCAGCCCGAGGCCATCCGCACGGTGACCTCGGCCCTGAAGGAGCTGTACCGCACCAAGCTGCTGCCCCTGGAGGAACATTACCGCTTCGGCGCCTTCCACTCCCCTGCGCTCGAGGACGCCGACTTCGACGGCAAGCCCATGGTGCTGGTGGCCGGCCAGTACAGCACAGGCAAGACCAGCTTCATTCAGTACTTGCTGGAGCAGGAGGTGCCTGGCTCCCGTGTGGGCCCGGAGCCCACCACCGACTGCTTTGTGGCCGTCATGCATGGCGAGACGGAGGGCACGGTGCCTGGGAACGCCCTCGTCGTAGACCCTGAGAAGCCCTTCCGCAAACTCAACCCCTTCGGGAACACCTTTCTCAACAGGTACAGGGCCCACGCTCCGTGCAACTGTGTTGCTCTCCTTTTCCGCTGCAATTCCCTTTTCTTTATACGGATTTTCTCACTTCCTGCTTCTGTTCATTTCCAGTCTTGATTTACGCCCCTCTGGGGAAACAGGATTCCTATAAAACCTGTTGCTATGAGTGGAGTCGATTCCGACCCACAGCGCCCCTAGAGGACAGAGTGGAACTGCCCCACAGGGTCTCCAAGGCTGTCAGTCTTTACAGAAGCAAAGCCCAAACCCAACCCAGTGCCGTGGAGTCAGTTCTGACTCACAGCGCCCCTAGAGGACAGAGTGGAACTGCACCACAGGGTCTCCAAGGCTTTCAATCTTCACAGAAGCAAAGCCCAAACCAAACCCACTGCCGTGGAGTCAATTCCTACTCACAGCGCCCCTAGAGGCAGAGTGGAACTGCCCCATTGGGTTACCAAGGCTGTCAATCTTTAGGGAAGCCAACTGCTGTCATCTTTCTCCTGCAGAGCAGCTGGTGGGTTCAAACCCCTGACCTTGCAGTTAGCAGCCAGTGCTTAACCACTGTGGTACCAGGTCTGGGGTCTAATCCTCTGCTGACAGGTTAGCTGTGTAGCCTTGGCCAATGACTTAACCTCCCTGCGCCTTTATCGCCGTCTGGAAAAGAGGAGTAAAGGTTGTCTTTGCTTCCAGTGCTGCTGGTGTGGCTGTAACAGAATGTATTTCCTTACAGTTGTGGAGGTTAGACGTCCACACTCAGGTGCAGCCTCTGGGGGAGGAAGGCTTTCTCTATCCGCTCTGGGGGACAGCCCCTGTCTGAGTTTCTCAGCATTTCTTCTGGGCTTTTCTTGGTGATCTCAGCGTGGCATCTGCCTCTCCCCCCACGCACGGGCTTCTCTCTAGTTTTAATCTACACTTTCTACATCTCGGAAATACCTAGCTTTAAGACACACCCTGTCCTGATGGATCTCATTAATATAACAAAACACTCTTTCCGATGAGATCATTCCATAGGTATGTGGGTTAGGAAAGGGGCTCTGCTGTAGTGGTTAAAGCATTTGGCTGGTAACTAAAAGGTCGCAGGTTCGAACCTATCAGCTGCTTCTCAGAGAACGATGAGGCAGTGTGCTTCTCTAAAGATGACAGCCTTGGAAACACTATGGGGCAGTTCTACTCTGTCCTACAGGGTTGCGGTGAGTTGGAATCAACTCGATGGCAGTGGGTTTGGTTCTGGTCTGGGGGGTTAGGATTCCCAGACATATTTTGGGGGGACAGCATTCAATCCATGACAGCCCCAGCTTCACAGGCTTGATGTGAGGATTGAATGAGTTAGCGAATGTGAGGTGCTTACTACGGTGCCCTGCAGGTTGGGCGCTCCGTAAACCTACCTGGTTTCCTTTCTTTACTGTTCGTTATCAGTCCTCTGCTCTGCCCTTTTTCTCTCATAATTCTTCCTTCTCTGTCGCGGCTTCTCTGCCCCTGCTTGTTCTCTGTGTGGTCCTACTTCCTGCCCCTCCCCGCGTTGACCCTGACCTTCCCTCGGTCCCTAGGTTCATGTGCGCCCAGCTCCCCAACCAGGTCCTGGAAAGTATTAGTATCATTGACACCCCGGGCATCCTGTCGGGCGCCAAACAGAGAGTGAGCCGCGGTGAGTGAGGGGCTG